AAAACATCCGGACCATTTTTCCGCCTACTGTACGTCTTGTTGATTCAAGAGACTGATCTATGGATTATCTATTGGGTGTTATAATGATCTGATCAAGTTTTAAATAGAAAATTTATTGTTTAATTTGAGTATATGTTCCTGATATCTTTTATGTTTTGTTTTATTGGATCAAAGACGACTTGAATCCTTTGTCAAGGCTATAAAAATAATTATTTAGAAATGATACGATGTCTTATAGTTGATACATCTAGACAATTGGATGTCAATAAGTTTTATATTATTTACAAGATGTTATATACAGAGTTGTATTTCATATTCAGGCTTATATTTTATCCTGTATTATGTAATTCATCTATTATAATATTACTTATGTTTATATCCAGAGCTTGTTCTATAACAATAATATATTTTCTACAACTTCTTTTTTTTTTCTTGGTCAGCCTGTACTGTCATGGTTGTAAGATTTATAACTTAATTCAATAAGATAAATAGTCATAATAGAATACATAGTGCATTTGTATAATAATTCTCTCTATAAACATATTTAGTATATTTACCCTTGTATAGGAAAATAACTAATTAATAAAAAGTCCTACATCTAAAAATATACTTTCTTCTATTATTGTTCTGCTGAATATTAATTTATAAAAATAACTTTATACAAGTTAAACTGGGGTAAACTAAGAATAATACAAATACGCGTAATAATTGATTCTACTCAGAATACACGTATTAGTTATAAAAATAAATATATACTAAAGACATGAATCTATAATTATAATTCTTAGTAATCCTTCTATAATTATATTATCAAATACAATTTGTTATATTTTTATCTTCTTATTACTCATCATCCTTATTCACAAAATATATAAATACTCTTACATTATTCACCCTTATTTTGTATAATTTATAACTAATAACAATACTTGTATTGGATTAACTTTTAATAAAACTTATTGACAAGTCTCAACGTACTTCTTCTGTCTTGTTTTCTTTTTATTTTATTCCTTTTATTTAATTCCTTAAACCTACCTGAACCACAACATGTACTTCATTTTTTGGATACATGAAATAGCTTCATCAATATCTGTTTTGACCACAATTTCATCAAACAGAGTTTCTTCTTCAATATTTAAGTCACCTTGAAGTTGGTAGGCACTACTATCGGAATACAGAAATGTGCTTTTATAAAATTTCGTAAGAGAGGGGTGAATATAGTTTACTATACAAGAGATCGAAAGCTCCAGTAAATACTCTTCTTTAATATTATGTGGTGTGTCTTCGAGTAGAAGTTTTGCTGTCCTTTTTGGTTGCCATCATCTTTAAACCCAGACAGACGTGTTTTCTGCTGTTCAGAAATTGAAACACCAGCTACTCGTTGATGTGCAATTGTATGTAAAAACAACTCTTCATCTAAACAAGAATTGTCTTGCAATTCGTTTTGTTGTAATATCTGTGGTGGCTGTGGGAATTGTGCTGGTAGATCTTGGAGAATAGAGTCGGCAACAATTCAGTTTGAGGCACTAGAAACATTTTCAACCATTGCAATTCCATCAACAATGTATCGAAGACGTGCAAGTTTTTGATATAATGAGTCAGCATTACTTGTATTGTAAGGCTTTACTAAAATTATTATTGACATACCGTACTCGCGTTTTTTGGCTTATAATTCCCAAATTTTTACTATGTATTGAGTTTTGCTACAGGAGAGATAGTGAGTTTTTTTTTTCAAAACTGTTTCTGTTGGATAGGCACAATGGGTTAGAAAAAAAATGTTTCAATACCTTTTGCAAATCAAATGTGCTTTGTTATAAGACCTCATCTGCAGTGCAAACTGACTCTTTCAAATTGAATAAATTTCACTTGGTTCTTCGATCGATAAATTAGTTGACCAGCTTATGAGATTTTCAAGGGTTGTATCAACAAATGTGTTAAAGCTTGGTAATCTTACATCTGTAACATATGATTCTAGTTCTACAGTGGGTGAAAAAATTGTTCACGTGTTTTGCACCTAGGTACTTTTTCGTTTATAACTCGACATCTAATGATCATAAAATCATACTTCAAAATGCATTCGAAAGAGACAATTGTAGGGTATTCATATGTAAAGTTTTAAATGCGTGACTGCTTTATTTCGTTAGCAGTTAGCCATCCAATAATTTATAAACACGTGAACAATTTTTTCCATTATCATGCACAAAATATTAATCATTTTCTATTCCCGAAACCACACGTCACATGTGTATTAATAATACATACTGAGTTAGAATATAGTACTGGGGTTATGATAAAATATAAATAACCATCATTTAATATTTTTTTGTATACCAATATTTTACATATTTTATTGATATACTTTATTACACACAATACACCATTAACATGACTCGTGCCCTTTCTACTGAACTTCAATTGGATATCAAAGCTTGTCTAATTAAAGGTGAATCCTTAACAACTATTTCATGTAAATTTGGTGTATCTAGAAGTGTTATTTCCAAGTATAAAAAGAAGTGGTTTCCTAACACTCTTTGCAACCATGCGGGAAGACCACCTATTATCACCCAGGGATCCAAGTCTTTGGTTAGGCGATTACTACTTAACGGTAGCCTTTTAACCGCTCATGATGCTCATAAAAAGTTTCTGTCACTGGGTTATGATTTAAGCTACAAGACAGCAATTAATGTTCTGAAATCAATGAATTTTTTTGCGTCAATAAAAAAGAAGAAGCCTATGATCAGCAATACCAACAAACAAAAGCGATACAAATGGGCCAAAAAATATCAGCATTGGACTATTGATGACTGGAAACGTGTAGTATTTTCAGACGAGAGTAAAATCAACATCTGGGGGTCAGACGGCTGCCAATATTACTGGACAAGACCTGGCGACCCATTGAGACCACATCATATTGATATTACAGTCAAGCATGGTGGTGGCCATATCATGATTTGGGGCTGTATGACCTATTGGGGACCAGGTTATGCATGTCAAGTGTATGATGGTAATATGAATTCAGTTGATTATCAGCATATTTTAGGTACTACGCTTAAAGATTCACTGGATTACTATGGTTTATCTTGGGATGACATTTACTTTCAGCAGGATAATGACCCAAAACATACGTCCAACTCAACCAAAAAATGGTTTGAAGATCATGGTGTAACCTGGATTGATGACTGGCCCCCTCAAAGTCCTGACTTAAATCCAATTGAACACCTTTGGCATCATCTGAAGTTGAAGCTCAGCGCATACGACCTTAGAGCTAAAGGTGTCCATGAACTATGGGAACGTGTTGATAAAGAGTGGAACATTTTTACAGAGGATGAATGTAGACGGTATATAGAAAGTATGCTAGCCCGTATTCAAGCTGTACTTGCTGCTAAAGGGGGCTCAACGCGTTATTAACCAACAACATATGCCAAGGGAAAGAATTGTTCACGTGATTTCTTATTTTTAAACTCATATTAACTGTCATATATACAAGCAAATAAAATTTCCAAATTTGTCATAAATAAAGTAAAATCTTAGCTTTCGTTCGGTTTTTATTTCATTTCAATATTCTTATTGTATGTCGAGTAATAGCCAGATATGTGCTGAATCTTAAAACACGTGAACAATTTTTTCACCCACTGTAGTTCTGATTTAATACGCTATTAGATTTTTTTTTCTACGAAAGAAAAAATTATTTATCAGTATTTCTAGGAAAACTCATTTTGAGATAAAAATAGAGGAACTTATTTATTTTTTGTTTTTGAAAGAGAAAACAAGTTGAACTGATTCACATAAAAAAAGGTAAATCTACATACTGTGCACACTTCTTCAGATGGGAGTTTTAAATGGACTAAAAAACTAGTGATTGGCTGATTAAAATTTTGAATGTATTAGAAAAGTTTTGATTGGTAGGGTAAAAAATTGATTGCAATAAATATATTTGATTGGCTAAACAAAATCTTGAATTTTAAACACATACTATTGTACGTAGACATTATGACTTAAATTTCTTTTTTTAACATTTTATGTTTTTAACTTCCTTCTATATTTTTATGTATGTTCACAACCAAACGTCGCTTGCGAACAACCATAATCGCAAAAAAAAAGTTACCCATCTCAAATACTATTTTCAAATCGTGCTAAAAAAAAAAGTGTGTTAAATTTAATTTCAAGTCGTACAAAAAATTAGCGGTACCAACTAAGACTAAAATCCTGTAAGAATAACTCACATTTTAGTAGATATTTTTTTCCTAAATTAAATAGCCGCCAATTTTAGCTGCAAACATTAAAAAAATAAATTGTCATGAGCTTTTTTATAATGTTATGTTTCATGATTAAACATGTGGATCATAAATTTATTTAAGAAATTCTATCCTGAATCTCTCTTGATCTGCCTATCTAATAATTGTTGTGGTTTAGGTAAGTTTAAAATAATTAAATAAAAAAAAGTAAAAGAGAAATAAAATAAAAAGAAGACAGAAGAAGAAGTACGTTGAGACTTGTCAATAAGTTTTATTAAAAGTTAATTCAATACAAGTATTGTTATTCTAAGTTATAAGTTATACAAAATAATGTAAGAGTATTTATATATTTTGCGGATAAGGATGATGAGTAATAAGAAGATAAAAATATAACAAATTGTATTTGATAATATAATTATAGATGGATTACTAAGAATTATAATTATAGATTCATGTCTTTAGTATATATTTATTTTTATAACTAATACGTGTATTCTGAGTAGAATCAATTATTACGCGTATTTGTATTATTCTTAGTTTACCCCAGTTTAACTTGTATAAAGTTATTTTTATAAATTAATATTCAGCAGAACAATAATAGAAGAAAGTATATTTTTAGATGTAGGACTTTTTATTAATTAGTTATTTTCCTATACAAGGGTAAATATACTAAATATGTTTATAGAGAGAATTATTATACAAATGCTCTATATATTCGATTATGACTATTTATCTTATTGAATTAAGCTATAAATCTTACAACCATTACACTTCTCCTGTATCAATAACGTGTTCATAGGGAGCAGTAGTGATAGTTTGTTGGTCATTTTCATCTGTCAAGCTAGGATATTTGGCCAACATTTCTTCGATCATCAAGTCTGCACTATTCACTTGTTCTAAAGAATTGGTGTGTTTTGTTACTGATTTTATCTTGGGACGTAACAATATATCTTCCTTGTCCATCCAATCCATTCCTAGAATGACATCTTCATTTTGTTCTGATACGACTAATAAATATGCACGGCTGGATTCAGTCTTGTTGAACGTGAAATCCATCATTGCCTTACAATTTGTAGCTTGCATAGTACGATTACCATAACGGATGATTTGAGTATCAATAACAAATTGGGTTAAACCTAGTTTATCAGCGACTTTTTTGGATACCGTACTAATTGTAGCGCCCGTATCAACTAATACTTGTTGTTCTTGGTCATTACACTTGATGGGAATCTTGAATCTTTTTCGATTACAAGTTTCTTCCATGTTATTACTATCCTCATAGCACTATGGCGGAAAATATGGTAGAAAAGTTACCAATATGGTAGCAAAGTTACCAATTTTGACGGTTAAAATATGGTAGGAATGATATTCTATAAGCACTTAAAAGGTAGCTTTTCTACCATATTTTTTTGGTAGCTTATATACGATATGGGTTGCTTATTTACCATATTTTTATAAATATAAAATAACGCTTTATTTTTTAAAACAGTACAAAACAATAGTGGGATAATGCTTATCTGCTTATTATATATGTGTTTTTTCATATAAACACTGAAGAATATTCTAAACGTTTAAACTAACTTACCTTTTTAAAACTTGGACTAAAAAGAAAAAGTAATTTCTTCATGT